CCTTTTTTTTTTTGTCATTTTCTAAACAACATTAACCAACATTTGACATAGCATTTACGTTGCATTAGTTATTATAATGTAATCTGATGATTGGATTTAAAAGTATTATGCAAATATACATTTTTATAAAGGACTCGAGGCAGTTAAAAGTATCGCATGGGGAGTCCTGGACCAATTCCTCATGAGGTATGGTAGGGATGGAGGCATTTAAATATATATATTTTAAAAGAAAAATACAACATATACAGAGCTTCTCACACTCAACTTCAGTCTCTTACACCTCTATCCTTTCCTTCGACAGCAAGATATTCAATTTCTTCTGAGTTTATATGATCATTTCTATGCATGTTTTTGGGACTTACTTCATCTAACATTTCCTTAAACAACATATAATAGTCTTTTAAGTAGTTATCTTTTTCTAAGCTTTGAAAAGTTTCATAAAATTGCTCACATCTTCTTAAACTTTTGGATATTCAAAGATCCTGGTATATAAATACCATATACCTATTTTATAATTTACAAAAAATTAAAATAAATTTTCTTATGTAAAATATATATACATATACATACAAAAATATATAAATATATATATATACACATATACATAAATATATGTACATAAATACATACATATACATATACATATATTTTTTAATCCTACTCTATCACCCAGGCTGGAGTACAGTGGCACAATTTCGGCTCACTGCAACCTCCCCCTCCGGGTTCAAATGATTCTCTTGCCTCAGCCTCCCGAGTAGCTGGGACCACAGACATGAGCCACCACACCCAGAAATTTTTTTTGTATTTTAAGTAGAGACAGGGTCCCACTGTGTTGGCCAGGCTGGTCTCAAACTCCTGACTTGACGTTGATCTGCCTGCGTGGGCCTCCCAAAGTGCTGGGATTACAGGCGTGAGCCACTGCGCCTGGCGTCCTTTTTCATTTCTAATTGATACCTTTTAAATGGATACAACCGCCTCAAGTCTTTATACATTAGTCATAGATGTTTTAGTCTTATTTAATTTCCTACCTTTTTCTTCATTGCTTAGACCTTGTACATGTTGGGTACAGGGTATATCTTTCCTGATGTTTTTCAATGTTTTGTTTGTGTGTGTGTGTGTGTGTGTGTGTGTTTTAAGATTTCCTATTAGCTTTTATGTGGATGCTCTATATACCATTTGTTTTCAGAAAATATAAGGCGGGATATTTAGCAGCTTAAGCACTAGGGGTGAGAACTTTCTATTCCTCTTGAAAACCATCAGTTCTACCCTTAAATTAAGTGTCTGACCCAGGGGGTTAGCTCACATATCTACTGAATAATCCTACTGAGGTCATTATTTTTTAGTATGCACTACTAAAGATAATTAAATGTAATAAAGTATCTTACAGTTGACACATTAAAGAACTTTCGACTACTCACAAAAGGAAGTGCTGTCTTCTCACAGGGTAGTAAAGATAAAATAATTACTACAAGCACTCAGCACAGTTCTTGTTGAGATTTCAAAATTCATTTA